ATCATCGGTAAACTGAAGCGCTCTTTTAACTTAACCAAACGCATTCTATATGAGATAAATCAGATATACATCAAATAAACACAATATTACAATGTACAATTGCACAAAAGGCTGCAAACGAACAGCGCGCATCTGAAGTGTCTCTGAAGGAAATAATGCATTATTTATCGGCTTTAAGATATCGGCCAAATTTTCTTATCAGGCCGATACCGATAACAGAAAAAATGAGCCGATATGGGCCGATACCGATATGGTGGCCGATATATCGTGCATCCCTAATATTGAACAAAGCCGTCTACATGGCATGTGCCTCTATTCGACTGATGTCCTGCCACTTTATTATCCTTTGGGGTCAGAAAGATTTTAAAATAATAATAATACTTTTATTCAGCAAGGATGCATTAAAATGATCAAAAGTGACAGTAAATAATGTTAAAAAATATTTTTATTATTAAATAAATGCTGTTTTTTAAAGGGATCATATTATGCGATTAAAATTTTTCCTTTCTCTTTGAAGTATTACAAGCTCTTGGTGCATAAAGAACAGGGAGAGTAGACTACAATGCCGGCTGTTCTGACTCACAGACTGTAAGTACGTTTTTTTATATATAAAGAATTTGCCACTGACGATTCAAACGCAAGTTTGAGCAGTGTAGAGTAACGCTTGTTGTTTGTCATTTCTCCTATCACAAATGCAGACATGGTTTTATGTTTACGCGGCGCGATGCAACGCGTAAAAAGACAGTATATGCCATTATAATCCGTAATTATGTCCCCACTGGATGCAACAAATGCCTCGTTTATAATGGGTTTTCATGTTTTTGTCTCGTTGCTCCGGCCGGACAGGGCATTAGTGATGTCCGGTTCGCGAACGAATCGTTCGATTTAACCGGTTCTTTTTAGTGAACCGGTTGAACCAGTTCACCAAATCGGACTGAATCGTTTGAAACGGTTCGCGTCTCCAGTAAGCATTAATCCACAAATTACTTAAGTTATTCACTTTTTTTAACCTGGCTGACACTCCCTGTGAGTCGAAATAAACCAGTATCCCGGAGTAATTATTTCATCAAACAGTACTCTGACTGAACTGCTGTGAAGAGAGAACTGATGATGAAAAGCAGCAAGTGTGCAGCACGCCGGATAACGAACGTACATTCCCACTGCTGGAGAGGTTCTCGTTTTCGAGTCAAGAACCGGTTGCATCGGTTTTCGGATCACCGGTACATTCAACCGAGAACCGTTTCTTTAGGACGCGTCCGATTTGAGAACCGATGAGCTGGGGCAAGTTCAAGCTCAAACCGGTGTGCACCGTTTTGCTACGGTTTCCGGTTTGAACCACATGCTTCCTGGAAACGGTGTGCAACGGGGTTTGAGATGCGCTTTCTCTTGTTTGGTGGGTGTGTCAAACATGTCAGCCCAATCAGCAGCAACATGTATATGAACCACGCGGTATTAAAGAGACAGCTCGCACAATGTAACTAACATCAAAATAAATTCACAAGAGCAAGTATATTGTTTGCACATGTTTATTTACATTAAAGGCAAAATAACTAAAATAATAAGAGCACATGTATAGATCTGGAACTTCATTAAGTCGGTCTAAATATAATTTAGTAATTGCAATGTCTTCTGGCCCATATCCTTTCCTTAGGAAAGTGTGCTAAATACTGATTAATGTAACAAAAATACTATACATATTTATATATTTTGCTATTGTATTATGGAGTGACACTTTCATAAACTTTTCTATACCCCTCTGATTATATAATGGTAAATATTACAATATCATAGCACAACAACAGTGATCAGCAATAATGATAAGCCTAATACTCACAATAAAAATAATAAGGTCATATAGATCATAACACAGTCTCGGAGGTAAGAAGTGGATTATCCTTCACCTGAAATATTTGTCTTTTCATCCTGAAATGCGAGGCAAATGTTGGATCACAATAATTAGGAACCACAGTTTCCACAAATCCATTCACTCGATTGGGATGTTCTCTTTTATTCTGGAGGGCAAGGGCAATGACTGTAACATCGAGCGTATTTTGCAGTATTAAACACGTATTTATACCGATTTCATCAGGCTCCGAAAATTCTTCAAAAAGAACACAAAGAAGGGCCTTCTCAGCTGCCATAGTTGCAACTCTTGCATCATCAGAACAGGGTGTTAAACGCACCACCATTTCCATTTTAAAAAAACGTGTTGCACCGTTTTTGTCGGGGCTGAACGCAGCCCTGATGATACTGCGCAAGTGTGTAATTTTTCAGAGGACGAAAAGCATGTTACCCAAGTATTTTGTTAAACATCAGAAAGTGTGAAAATATCATTTTTATTTTTTAATATTTTAAATATAATGTTTTATTTTACTTTTTAAAAAAAGATGAATGCTTGTTTGTTTGTTTTATTTATTTATAGAGCACAATTAAAACAATGTAAGGTTGACCAATGTGCTGTACAATAGTAACTTTGTTTACTCAATATGTTGAGCCAAAGGCTAACTCTAATAAATACAATTTCAAATTTCTTTTAAAAGAACCCAATATAGGTAAAAGTCTATATTGGTTAAATATAGGTAAAGGCAAGCTATTTCAACGCTTTGGGGCCACCACTGAAAATGCCCGGTCACCACTCAGTTTTAATCTTGTCCTAGGGATCTGGTTTGATGACCTTAGATTCCTTTGAGGTTTATGTAAATGCAAAAGATCAATTAAATAAGGGCGCGCCAGAATATGTAAGACTTTATATACTAAAATAAGTCATTTAAAATCAACCCTGTAGTGAATTGGAAGCCAATGTAAAGTAGCTCAAATCTGTGTCATATGCTGGTATTTACGAACACAATATATGCTGGTATTTACAAATGTATCTTATCTGTGTACTTTGTTCAGTTGAAGATTCTGTTAGGTCATCCAGGCCCAGGAGGATAGACTTTTTTTTATTTATTTATTTTTTATTATGCAATAGAAGAACAACAAATACAATTACAAAGACAAGTAAGAACAAAAGACATTAAGGGTTACAAACAATACTCCAAAGCATACTATGTTAGCTTATAAGATTTACACCATGAAAGAGTCTTACATGCAGTAGAATTATTAGAGTTTCTTAAAGAGTTTACATATACATCAAAATCTTTCCTGAAAATAAAAAAGTAGGGAGTTTTCTTTGAAAATTTACTTATGAATGTAAAATTTAGCAAGATATAGCAATAGATTAATAATAAATTTACACTGAGAAAGATCTAAATTCAAGGAGTAACCAAAAAACACAATTTTTGGGGTTATACAAAAGTTTGGATATAAATATTTTTTAATAAAATTGGAAAAGTCAACCCAGAACACTTTAGAATAAGCACAGTCCCAAAATAAATTATTGATTGTTTCTTCAGACTGAAAGCAAAAGGAGCAATTGGGGGAAATACTATTGTTAAATTTAGCAAGTTTGTAATTTACCGGATAACAATTATGGATAATTTTGATAGAGACTTCAACAACTTTATTAGATAAGAAGAATTTTTGTCGAAGAAGCCAAAACTTTTCCCATTCTATATCACTAAATATGTTATTCCAAAAACTCACACAAGCAGGTAAAGAAATCTGAGATCTGTTAATAATTGAACGGATGTCTTTGTTTGACATGGCATTGAGAAGACTTTGGTCAACAAATAAGTTAGTGTTATCAAAAAGAGGAGAGTCTAACGAACCTTTAGGGCCAGATTTTACTAAAGGTATAATACAAGAGGGAATTGCACCAAACACAATGGCATATTCTCTTGGGGGGACAGGAAATTTCTTTCAAAAATTGTTCATAAGTAAAAAGGACACCACGATCATCTAAAAGTTGACTGACTAAAAGTATATTTTTATCAAACCAATTGTGAAAAAAAGAGATTTATTTTTATAACTAATATTTTTATTATTCCAAATAAAGTAGCTATGTGGTGAAAAATGATAATAATGTATAAGTGACCAACTTATTAAAGCCTGTTTATGAAAACAAGATAAATTTAAAGGTATTTTAGAGATGTCAAAGTTGGAGCGCAATAAAAAATGTAAACCTCCAGCAGAGTTAAATATATGATTTGGAATAAAATTCCAACAGGATGTGGGGTCAGGAGGATAGACTTGATATCATTACGTTATCGCGAATGAAGTCATTACGTTAGGGCGTAAAATAACTGATGAACCGGTTTTTTGAACCGGTTCATTGAAACGAACTGTCCGAAAGAACCGGATCGTGGAAAAGAACCGGACTTCCCATCACTACAGGGCATCACAGTATGGTAAGGGGCGTAACATTTCCGTCACACGCTTGAGGTATTCGGCCAATCACAACACACTGGATAGCTGGCCAATCAGAGCACACCTTGCTTTTCAGACCTATGAGCTTTGTAAAAATCAACGCGTTTCAGAAAGGCGGGGCATAGAGGAGAAACAATAATGTACAATATGTGGAAAATTAATGTGTTTTTTGAACCTTAAACTGCATAAACATTTCATTACACCAAATACACAAAATAATGTTCTTTTTAGCAGCATCATATGACCCCTTTAAACTTTATATTTGTAAAAAAAAATATGCATTAATGTTTCTACAAAAGTATTAAGGGTTTTCAACATAATAATAATCACAAATGTTTTTGAGCACCAAATCAGCATATTAGAATGATTACTGAAGGTGTTTTACTCCATTTTTGATCAAATAAATGCAGCCTTGCTGGACTTTCAAAAATCTTACTGTTTATAACTAAACTTGGTATTGTGCCAAAACAAAAACATGCATGCATTAAATTTTATTTATCATATATTTTAATAAAAATGTATATTAAAGAAATGATTTAAAATGATATTTTATTTAAAAAAAAATGTTACTTAAAAAAATCTCTGAATGAAAATGAAAATTTTTTCTGCTATATTCCTGCATTTTTTGCATTTGCTCTGTATATTTAAGAGTTCCTCTTTTCCCTTCTCCTTCTCCCTCGGTTTGTTCACAGGCTCTTCCCTATGTTGCTTTGCTGATCGTAATGCTGTTCTTCATCTACGCCGTCATTGGAATGCAGGTCAGACCCAGCTTCATTTGCTTCACACTCTCTCCTCATCTTCCCCAAGGAAATGTCTCCATGTCTGTTACAGCTCCTGTACTTGTAACAACTTGGACATGTTGGTGTGGAGCGATTTGTGATGGGTAATGTTTTTCTGACTCCACAGATGTTTGGTAAGATTGCCCTGAGGGACCACAGCCAGATCAACCGAAACAACAACTTTCAGACATTTCCTCAGGCTGTTCTGCTGCTCTTCAGGTCAGTTTCCCTCTTGCTTTCTCTCTCTCTTTCTTTCCCTCGTTTGATGTCTCTCTCTCACATTAAGCTTGTGCATTTCTGTAGGTGTGCAACAGGGGAGGCATGGCAGGAAATCATGCTGGCCTGTTCCCCGAACCGCCCATGTGAGAAGGGGTCAGAGGTCGGCCATTCCAGTGAAGACTGTGGCAGCCACTTTGCCATCTTCTACTTTGTTAGCTTTTATATGCTTTGCGCCTTCCTGGTGAGTTGACATCGATATTCCTTCCCAGTAAGCAACTGTGTTATTGTATATCAGCTGTGAAATTTGCTGTGAAATCATCTCCACCAGCATGACATCCTTTACCCCTCCGTACAATGTTTACCGTATCCATAATAACAGAAGCAGCGGGTTTCCCTAGCACAAGATGATTCAGATCCTTCCTCTCCCACAGATCATTAACCTCTTTGTGGCCGTCATCATGGACAACTTTGACTATTTAACACGTGATTGGTCGATATTGGGACCGCATCACCTAGATGAGTTTAAGAGGATATGGGCAGAATACGATCCTGAGGCCAAGTCAGTCACTTCCTGTTTTGCCATCTTTAACAGTTGCAGTTTCTAGATCTTATTATTAATAATTCTAGATTATTTATTTGTAGCGACTGAAACGGAGATCTGAGTTTAATGTGATTGCAGGGGTCGGATAAAGCACCTGGATGTGGTGACGTTACTGCGCAGGATTCAGCCTCCCCTTGGATTTGGAAAGCTTTGTCCACATAGAGTGGCATGCAAGGTACAAATCCTAAAATGTACTAACTCTGTAGTGTGTTAGACACATTACTTGACTTACTTTATCTGTGCATCTGCAGCGGCTTGTGTCCATGAACATGCCTCTCAATAGTGACGGGACGGTGATGTTCAACGCAACTCTCTTTGCTCTAGTACGAACGGCTCTACGCATCAAAACTGAAGGTGTGATAGTGTCATACATGCAAAAACAGTTCATAAACACGCATAAATCTAATACACATCCCAACTTGTATGCACAGAAAAGTCACCGTTTGTATGTGTTTGTGTCAGGTAACTTGGAGCAAGCAAATGAGGAACTCAGAGCCATCGTGAAGAAGATCTGGAAGAGGACGAGCATGAAGCTGCTCGATCAAGTTGTTCCCCCAGCTGGAGGTGGGTGATGGCAAAAGGTCAAAGGTCGACCAATTACATACACTACCATTCATAATTTTGGGGTTGGGTTTTTAGTGTTTTTGAAAGAAGTCTCTTATGCTCACCAAGGCTGCATTCATTTTATCAAAAATACATTAAAACAGTACTGTTGTGAAATACTATAATTTAAAAGTGTTTTTCTGTTGTTATATACTTGAAAATGTAATTTATTCCTATGATGGCAAAGCTGAAAATATGCTGATTTGGTGCTAAACATTACTTAATATTATCAGTGTTGAAAACAGTTGTTGCTTAATATTTGATATATTTTTATTTAAGTTCTATGAATAGAAAGTTCAAAGGAACATCGTTTATTTTAAATACAACTCTTTTGTAGCATTATACAGTTTTACTGTCACTTTTGATCAATTTAATGAGTCCTTGCTGAATAAAACCTGAGTGTGTGTGTGTGTGTGTGTGTGTGTGTGTGTGTGTTTCCTTGCCCAACAGATGATGAAGTAACCGTTGGGAAGTTCTATGCCACATTCCTGATTCAGGAATACTTCAGGAAATTTAAGAAGCGCAAGGAACAGGGCCTGGTGGCCAAAATTCCCCCAAAGACTGCTCTTTCACTGCAGGTGGGTCCATTAGACCATCAGCTATAACAGAAAAATGTATTCTGTTTGCATATGAATGTGCCTGTTTGTGTGCTGTGACCAGGCTGGCCTGCGCACACTGCATGATATTGGTCCTGAGATCAGAAGAGCGATATCAGGAGACCTGACTGTGGAGGAGGAGCTGGAGAGAGCCATGAAGGAAACCGTGTGTGCTGCTTCTGAGGATGATATCTTCAGGGTAAAGGTCTGATATTGCCTCTTATTTCCTCTCCTCCGCTCTGCTCACATCATCGCTTCTGCTGCCGGAGCTTCTGCCCACCTGCATGGGACCATCAGCCAGATCTTCCAACCAGGCTGCGAAGGGTCACAGAGCTGCTTGTTTAGATTCATCGCTCAGCATTGAGGGCTTCAAATTATTTTTTTCATTTGTTATTAGGACAACAAAATCATTTTTTTCATATTAGGTTCATGAATGTGTCAAGTTTTACAAGCTTGTAATCTAAAAGTGTCTGAAACCATTAAGGAACAGTGCTTTGCCCTAATCACACAAATCAGATGGTTATAAAATTAGTTAAATTAATAGTTAAATTATTAAACATTTGCCATCAGTGATGTTAAAGTACATTCATAGACCATTTAGAAAAATCAAAAAAATGGCTGCTGTCTGAATGTAAGTGCAGAGTGAATAGAGGAAGTGAAAGTGTTTGTGTTCTCAGTGTGTGTGCGTCTGTATGTTTATTTGCGTCTGTATGTTCATTTACCGTTTACCTTGGTATTAACATTCGCGTTAGTGATCCGATCACAAGCTATCACTAAATAAAGCTGAAAAAGTGATGTAATGCATTCCAGAAGCGTATTGAAAGCTAAATTCTCAATCCACACATATGGCCACATTATACACCAATATGACAAGAAAATGTCTTGTTTTAGAGGAATCTAACTATATATATATAGGCTATAACAAAATATTTTTGTTATGTTGAGATCTCAAGAAAATCAAGTCAAGATCATGAGAAGAAAAGCAAGACAAAAATGGACAACAAAATCATTTTTTTCATATTAGGTTCATGAATGTGTCAAGTTTTACAAGCTTGTAATCTAAAAGTGTCTGAAACCATTAAGGAACAGTGCTTTGCCCTAATCACACAAATCAGATGGTTATAAAATTAGTTAAATTAATAGTTTAATGAATAGGATGTAGTGCTTAAATGAAAATTCTGTCATTAATTACTCACCCAAACCCGTTCCAAACCCGTAAGACCTTTGTTCATCTTCCGAACACAAATTAAGATATTTTTGGTGAAATTCGAGAGTTTTCTGACCCTGCATAGACAGCAACGGAATTACCACATTCAAGGTCCAGAAAGGTAGTAAGGACATCATTAAAATTGTCCATGTGACATCAGGGGTTCAACCATAATTTTATGAAGCTACGAGAATACTTTTTGTGTGCAAAGAAAACAAAAATAAAAAATGTATTCAACAATTTCTTCTCTTACGCATCAGACTTAATGCGCGTTCACGATAGTACAACGATGTATGCGTGTGCATTCCTCTGCTTGTAAACAAGGCGCAGCACATGTGGGTTCTACATCAGAACACCAGCTTCTGCGTCAGCAGCATTACACACATGCACCATGGTACTCTTGTGAATGCGAGGTGGAGACTGAAGCGGAAGAGAAGAATTGTTGAATAAAGTTGTTTTGTTTGCGCACAAAAAGTATTTTCGTAGTTTCATAAAATTAAGGTTGAACCACTGATGTCACATGGACTATTTTAACAATGTCCTTACGTTGCTGTCTATGCAGGGTCAGAAAGCTCTCGGATTAATCAAAAATATCTTAATTTGTGTTTTGAAGATGAACGAAGGTCTTATGGGTTTGGAATGACATGAGGGTGAGTAATTAATTTTGGGTGAACAATCCCTTTAATGCTTAGGGCTTCTGAATTATAAGAAGCTGTATGTAGTCATTGAAATCTACTGAAAAATCACTGGAGATGTTAATACCAGGTGTGAACGGGAAGGGATGATCAGGTTTGCGTAAATGTGAGCACTCATGTGTGTGTATTTATCTTTGCAGCGGTCTGGCGGCCTCTTCGGGAACCATGTCAACTACTACCACCAGAGTGATGGCCACGCCTCCTTCCCACAGTCCTTCACAACACAGCGGCCATTGCACATCAGTAAATCCGGGAGTCCCGGCGAGGCAGAATCTCTCTCTCATCAGAAGCTCGTCGACTCCACCTTCTCTCCGAGCAGTTACTCTTCCTCAGGATCCAACGCAAACATCAACAACGCCAACAACACAGCCATCGGACACCGGTACCCCAAACCTACCGTCAGCACAGTGGACGGGCACACGGGGTCGCCCCTCACCACTGTCCCACTACCACGGCCTACATGGTGCTTTCCTAACAAGAGGTATGATGCCATATTCCTTCTGTAGTTGAATGCAGATGTGTGAGTTAGTGGGGAGATGTTCAGGTTTGTCAGAATCTGGTTCCTGATTGTGGTTTGTCTCGCCCTTGATTGTCTCGTGTGGACCAGGAGCTGTTTCTATGACACTTTCATGCGGTATGTTACTCACACAGAGACCAAGAGAAACCTCATCACTTTGGAGGGCTGGCGTATGCTCTGTCCATACTGGGGTGGATCTGAAGCTAAATGTTTGCAACACACACTCTATAGTGTGTTGAGAGATCCACTTTATACATAACATTAACTAGCAGGATCTATGAGCGGCTTCTCTGATTGGCTGACTGCTGAATGAGCATGTGTTAGGCCAGTGGTTCTCAACTGCTTTTCCGTCAGAACCCAGATTTTACGCTCTCATCAACAATTCATTTTCTTTTTTTGAAGTTTTTTTTCTTGGTTTTTCTTAATGAAAAGGGTATGTGAAACAACATATTCATGTTGGCATCTACAAAATATGGACTGTTGTATACTAAAACTTTTTAAAATGATTTCAATTCATTGAAATAAAGCTGAAATAAAATATAACTTAAAAACGGCTAAAACTGAAATAAAAATAAAGCTCAGTATATATATATATATATATATATATATATATATATATGTATGTATGTATATTTATATGTATATATTAAAGCAAAAACTATTATATACAGTGGTGGCCAAAATTATTAGAACACTAATATTTTCACCAGCTAAAAAATGGTTTGGTCATAAACTGAGAGAGTTTTTCAGTTGCAGGTAGGTTTCTTGAAGCATCTTAGAGACGTTGCCACAGTTCTTCTGGATTGAGTCAGTCTCAGTTTGTTCTGTTTCTTCATGTAATTCCAGACAAACTAGATGATGGTGAGATCAGATCTCTGTGTGGAGCACCGACACCTTGTGCATACAAAAATCTCACTGGATTATTACAATTGTAAGTGTAACTTGATATTTCCTACTGACGCGCTACAGCAAAAGATAGAAATAAATTGCTTAACCATTTTTTTTTGTTGGTGAAAATACTAGTGGGAACCTTAAGTGCAGTAGAATTTTTTTTTGTAACCTTGGCCAGATCTGTGCCTTGCCACAATTCTGTCTCTGAGCTCTTCAGGCAGTTCCTTTGACCTCATGATTCTCATTTGCTCTGACATGCACTGTGAGCTGTAAGGTCTTATATAGACAGGTGTGTGGCTTTCCTAATCAAGTCCAATCAGTATAATCAAACACAGCTGGACTCAAATGAAGGTGTAGAACCATCTCAAGGATGATCAGAAGAAATGGACAGCACCTGAGTTAAATATATGAGTGTCACAGCAACTGAGCAATACTGAGCAAAGGGACTGAATACTTAGGACCATGTGATATTTCAGTTTTTCTTTTTTAATAAATCTGCAAAAATGTCAACAATTCTGTATTTTTCTGTCAATATGGGGTGCTGTGTGTACATTAATGAGGAAAAAAAATGAACTTAAATGATTTAAGCAAATGGCTGCAATATAACAAAGAGTGAAAATTTTAAGGGGGTCTGAATACTTTCCGTACCCACTGTATATATACACACAAAAAATGACTAAAGCTTACATTTAACTAAATAAAAATGAAAACGTATATAAATAGTAATATGTAAATAATACAAAATAACTGATTATTTGTAACAAAATATTGTATTTTGGAAGAAAAAAAACATAAAAAGCTAGTAAAAATGACAAAAGCACATACAGTTACAACAACTTAAATTAAAATGCAAACTATATAAATATAAAAAGCTAATTCAGAGTATTAATAAATACTATAATAGTATATAAATACTAAAATAACACTGCTGACAGATTAATTTGTAGCAAAATACTGTAGATTTAAAAAAAAACTGGGAAAAAGACAATTACTAAAACTTAAAATGATAACTGAAATTATAAATAGATAACTGAAAATATTAACTAACATGGTAGTAAGTAATACTAAAAGAACGCTGCTGACAGAATTGGATTGACTGCAGCCTCTTTAACGTCAACAAAATAAGATAAGCCTATTTATTTTGTAATATGAACTGGTAGCTTGTTCATCATTACTAAGCAAGTTTATATGGTTAGTTGCAATTTTTTTTCTTTGTGACACACCAGTTGAGAACCGCTCTGCTAGGCCACGGAATTGTTTGTTTTGAAGCTCATCCTGGTGCTCATTTCCAGGCTGTACTGGAGGGGCTCTTTATTTAGACCAAAATACAGAAGCATCAATTTCACAAGCAGCTCTGCAGCTATTAAACTGGACATACTACTTTTTTTGTCCAAACAGATGCAGCACAATCCTGCGAGCGGGATATGCACTTATTTCTGTTAGTGGAGCTCCAGTCTTTATGAAGTGCCCCTTTACAAACTTTTTCTCCTCTTAAATCTAATATCATAAGGTTTCTATGCAAAAATAATAGCAGTGCTTCTGTAATGTGACACAACCAGTTAAAACTGTGCTGTAAGGTTTGTTAGACATCATCAAACCTTAAGCTGCTGTAGTTGTTTGTGTTCACATTATAATAGCCTTATGAGAGCTTGAGGAGAGAGTAACCGCTGTTATCTGTATAGGTGAGCTTTCCTCACTTTCTGAAGCCTTTCAGATGCTAAATATGTTTATGGTTCACCTGTGTGTTTTGTGAAGCTCTGATTCCAGTGACAGTCATCTCCCTATAATACGGCGAGAGGAAGCATCTACAGATGAGACGTACGATGAAACATTTCTAGATGAGAGAGATCAGACCATGCTCTCAATGGACATGTAATACTGCATTCATCTGTTTTAATTCATATCAGAACATTTAATACAACATTAAGCCACAGGAATGTGGGAGATACAGTTTAATGCTTAGCTAATTTTCTTTCGTAGAAGTTGCCAAATCTGACCCCCTCATATTAATAGTGCCTTTCAAACAGCTGTAATGTAGTGCTGTGGTCATAATGGTCCTAAAAACAGAATTCATTTGATATGAATTCATTATATATAAATTCAGTCAATTTCAATTAAAAAAAAGGGGTCAGAAAGATTTTTTGAAATACTTTTATTCAGAAAGGATGCATTAAATTAATCAAAAGTGACAATAAACATTATAGTATACATTTATGTTACAAAATATTTTTATTTAAAAAAAATAAATAAATTACTTTCTCTTTATCAAAAAATATTTATAAATATTTAGCCATGCAATGTTTTCAACATTGATCATGTGACACTGAAGACTGGAGTAATGGCTGCTGAAAATTCCGCTTTGCATTACAGAAATAAATTACATTTGACAATATATTCAAATAGAAAAGTGCTAATTTAAATGGTAATAATATTTGACCATATTCCTGTTTACTGTATTTTTTGATCAAATAAATGCAGCCTTGATGAGCATAAGAGACTTCTTTCAAAAATGAAAATCTTTTAAACATTTGCAAAATGTAATTTCTTATTCTTTTTGGGGGATATATTTTGACACCCGACTTGACAGTATTGTGAGATTCAGGCTCCTAGAAAGAGTAATATTTCAATATTTTGAATGTATGTGTGCGGGGTGCAGGCTGGAATTTCAGGATGAAGAGAGCAAGCAATTGGCTCCAATGGTGGAGGCAGAAGTAGGGGAAGAGAGGAGGCCGTGGCAGTCTCCACGAAGACGGGCATTTCTCTGCCCCACTGCACTGGGTACATACTCGCACACATTCACAATACAAGTCAGTACAGTCATTAGTTTTGCTTCAAATGTGATACTGAAGTCAAGTGCATATTTACTTTTCAATACAGGTCGACGGTCTTCCTTTCACTTAGAGTGTTTGAGAAAACATAACAGACCTGATGTTTCTCAGAAAACTGCACTACCACTGCACCTAGTGCATCATCAGGTGAGCTTATGCACGCACCCACACCCACACTTTGCTTGACAAAGTTTGTATTTTCACTTATTCATCTTGTGTTTTCAAAGGCTTTGGCTGTGGCAGGTTTGAGTCCCTTGCTGAGACGGAGTCATTCTCCGACGTTGTTCACGCGTCTGTGCTCCACACCTCCTGCGAGTCCCAGCGGCCGCGGCGGGGGAGGGCCGTGCTACCAGCCCGTTCCGTCTCTGCGGCTGGAGGGCAGCGGATCTTATGAGAAACTCAACAGCAGCATGCCGTCTGTGAACTGCAGCTCGTGGTACAGTGACAGTAACGGCAACCACAGCAGGAGTGTGCAGAGGACGCAGCGACCCGTATCCCTCACGGTTCCTCCGGTCACACGCAGAGACTCCACATCCCTGTCACACGGGAGCGCCGGCAGCCTCGTGGAGGCCGTAAGCTGCATTTTCTTAAAGCAAGACACTACAGGCAAAACCATTGCACAGATCATTTTTTAGATTTAGGGCTATTTTGATTGCAAAACTTGTCATCTTCAGACTTGTGGATAGAAAACATCCAAAAATACATATTTAAAGGGATAGGTCACCCAAAAATGTAATTATTTACTCACCCTCATGTAGTTCCAAACCCGTAAGACCTTCGTTCAATCTGAGAGCCTTCTGACCCTCCATAGACATGATGCAACTACCACGTTCAAGGCCCAGAAAGTTAGTAAGGATATCGTTAATAGTCCATGTGACATCAGAGGTTCAACTGTAATGTTATGAAGCTACAAGAATACTTTTTGTGCGCAAAGAAAACAAAAATAACTTATTCCATGTCAGTCTCCACTGCCATTCACAAGAGTACCACGACACATGCGTGTGGTGCTGCTTATGCAGGACCCGGTGTTCTGACGTAGAACCCAGATGCGCTGCGCCTAGTGATGGCTGACGCGAAGCTGACATTTCGACGCAGTGTCGAGATCCCGAAGCGCAGATGTTTCGATACACTGCTCCGAAGTGTGATTCGAAACACCCATGTCACGTGACTAAGGTGAATCAAAGCATCCGGGCGTTTCACAAGTGTTTCGAGACCCGAATATGCGTTTGATCGACAGGGTCGAGAACAAACCACACAATCGCACATCTGTCTCAACCTAACTCCCACAAAGTATAAAAGTGGAGTTAATGCAGCAGAACAATGAATATTTTAAAATAAAAATCTTTATATGTAAAAAATGGTAGAAGTTGTGGCTTGATGTCTTTTATTAATGTTAATTCTTTCATGACTAAAGTAACATTTATTCACAGAGAGTTCATTCAGTTGTCAGAGATATGTTACAACACATTACAAGAACAGAACAATAAAAACACAACTTTTAAATAGTTATTATAGTTATATACAGTACATGCTTCACCCTGGATTTGAACCTAAGGTGACAGGCTCTGACAACATGCCAGTCGAGCACACTAAGCACTCCCCCAACTCACTTGGTGGAATAACGAGCACAACATATACGTTATAATTTGTCATTTCGCTTAACTGATTTGTTGTTAATGCTGTATCAGAGCAATACTTGAAAATGAGAGACGGGTGTCGAATTGTTTCGAAGCCTCAGCACATTTGTTTCGACTGTTTCAGTGTTTCACAAAGCCTTGCTCTGCCCACCACTATCTGCGCCTTGTCGTGGTACTGTCGTGAACATGCGCGGAACAGAAGAAATTGTTGAATAAAGTCGTTATTTTTGTTTTCTTTGCGCACAAAAAGTATTCTTGTAGCTTCAAAATATTAAGGTAGAACCACTGATGCCACATGGACTATTTTAATGATGTTCTTACTAACTTTCTGGGCCTTGAAATCTTCAGTTGTGTTGCTGTCTATGCAGGGTCAGAAAGCTTTCGGATTAATTAAAACTATGTTAATTTGTGTTCTGAAGATGAACGAAGGTCTTAAGGGTTTGGAACGACATGAGGGTGAGTAATTAATGACAGAATCCCTTTAAGTGTTTATTTGCATATTTATGTGTTTAGTAAAAAAAATTTATATACCATATTTACCTACACTACACAAAAAACAAGAGTTCTTTATTGGCATTGATGGTTTTAGGAAGAATCTTTAGCATACTCGTAACCTTTCCATCGTACAAAAGCTTCTATTGACAAAAAAAAAATTTTTTTTAATCAAAATGTTCCTTACACTAAGTAAAGAATGGTTCTTTTAAGAACTTTTCACTGCAGAAATGGTTCTTCTATGGGATCACTGCAAAAACAACCTCAAGGAACCTTTAGTTTTAAGAGTATAAAGCGTTGAAATGTTCTCGTTCTTTCTTTGCCCAGGTGTTGATATCCGAGGGTTTGGGTTGCTATGCACAGGATCCTTCCTTCATCCAGGTAGCGAAGCAGGAACTAGCGGATGCCTGCGACATGACCATGGAGGAGATGGAGAACGCTGCCGACAACATTCTCAACGCCAACGCACCGCCCAATGCCAACGGAAACCTGCTACCCTTCATGCAGTGCAGAGACACTGGCTCGCAGGAGTCCCGTTGCAGCCACGCGCTGGGCCTCTCGACCACCACGGGCTCCGACGAGCTGCTGGGGGCGGAGCTAGAGTGCTCCGAGGGGGAGGGGCAGCAGAACAGCACTCTGATGGAGGACGGGGACATGGAGTGCGTGACCAGTTTGTAGGGGGAACAGCAGCAGCAACGGAGGACTTCCTGTGTCTTAGCCCAGCTCTCTCTGAGGACACTGCTGTCCTGCAGTCTGACCTGTCTGTTGCGTGTACCTACCATAGGGGTATAAGGCCATTCTGCTTAGCTGAGACCAAGTTGGTTTTTAGTTTGTCCGTGTTTGCGAGAGCACGAGCGAGTAGGCGTGTGTACATGTTTGTGTGTGTTTCTAAAGTGCCTCACAGTTCTCACAACCTTGATTGCAGTAAGGAAACGAAACCCTGACCGAGCAAGGAATGAAGGGAAAAGATGCGCTGTTGTTGCTCAAGCAGTGGGAGTTTGCGCTGACCTGTGTGTGGCGGCAGGACTCGAAAGCCGCAGCATCGCGCGTGGACGCTCGGTGCCGAGCAGGTGGATCTTGAGGGCCGTGTTGGGAATTTGCTGCCCGGGGGCCGTCACGGGTTCGAGAGATGTTCAGAGGGACACATTGGAGCGGCTCTCTCTTTCCTTTCCATCCATCCATCCGTTCTTCAGAAGTGTCGTCTGCAAGCGCCCTCACATCATACTTCTCCTTTACGGCTTTCTTTTATGTTCAGTTGATGATTTTTGCTGTTTTTTATTTTATTTAATTTCTCTAGTTAAGCCTGCACATAGCTTTTCCTTTTATCAGCGGAAGACTGAACTCTCTGAATTGCTCTCTTTCTTGTGTACCGTTACGGCTTTCAGGTAACTGCTCGCTGTGCAAGGTACGGGTCATTGCATCAGTGGCCTTTTATTCCAGATCTGCTTCAGGTTTTATTTTCTTTTTATTTTCCAGCATTTAGTGTTTATAATGTTGTTTGCACACAGATGGATGCTGTTTTTTTTCTTAAATTATTATTATTATTATTGAAGGCGTTTAAGATGTTTATGCCAGATGCAGTGTTGTGAATCTAATGCCTCTTACAGACACACAAAAACAATTATTTATTTATTTATTCCTGTCAGAGGTGAAGCGTGTTCCGCCGGGGGTTCGGTCTCTCTCACAGTGTTTATTGGTAGCTCACAAGCTGTAAATGAGCAGTGTCACTCACCTGGGCGCAGGTAGCACTGACAGCTCTCATGGCTGCTGTTGGGTCGGACTCACGTTTGCTCTGAAACTACTGACGTTTCTTCACTGCTGATCTCCAGAAACATTCAGCCGACAGCTGCGATTCTGTCACGATCCCACCTGCTCGACACAGGGAACAGCAGATCTTCGGAAGGTCAGTAAAGGTGCACTTTGAGGAGAGGAAGGGTGGAGTATTCAGGGATGTCTGGGTAGCGCATCATTAAAAAAAAACTCTAATGTAGTTCACACAGGGCTAAATATATGACCATCATTATGAAAGTACCAACATCAGCAGTGTCATCATCATACAATGTTATTGATATTATCATTATTATTATTATTATTATTGTTAAGGATATTTTTCTGCTGCGTTTAACACCGTTTCCATGCAGTTCGGCAGACACAGAGAACTACTTATCGATCTATTATGCAAATAAGGTGTTGAAGCGTTAGCATTGTGTTGGTAATGTGTCGACGGGATGGAGTGCGACCCCTAAACACATGAGAAACCTGACCAATCCACTTCCAGGCGTCTCTCTGTTTGTGCCACACTAGACCGGGTTAGAAGTTCTGTCACCGTTTTGCACACTACTTCAGACGATACGAATTTCTCTTTCCATGTATGAACAGATAATTGACTATTTTTGTCTAGCTGACGCTTCACTTTCTATAGAGCGTCCTGGCGTTTGGTTCCAGGCCTCGAACATCGCGTTCGATCTCAGTCTCCAGTCCTGTGCCATTTTTTTTTTTGATTGATTGATTGATTGATTGAGTTCCTGAATGTTTACAGAAGGTCTCTGCTCTGAGGACGATGCAAAGCTTGTGAAAAAACGTGACAAATGTAGCCAGAACCCACCTGCTCTGTCCCAAAGCCGCCACCACACCCTCATATCTCCTACACACACAATGTGTCATTGTGAGGCTGCCCCAGGCATATTTCGAGGCCTTGGTTGTGTACGTGTGCGAGTTTCTCCGTGTTTAGCATATGCAGAGTGCGAGCGTGTTTGTGTGGTGTTCGTGTTAGTATATGCAGGATGAGTGCGTGAGTGCATGCGTATGTGCTTGCATACCACAAGATATGCAAAAACAATGCAATAACTGACTGTACAACAGTTTCCTTCAGAACTACAGCTGTACAAAAATCTAAGATACAGAGAGATATATATTCACTGTTGTGTATTAAGTTACAGAACTTTAAATTGAAGAAACCTGTCATACTTGAAATCGGGTGCATTTGAGTATTGAGTATTTTGAAATAATCTTGTGCGGGTCAGTTTGGTTCGATGTTTTTCTTCTGTTGGTTTCAATGATCTCTGCATGAGGATTCTTTTGGTGTGCCAAGCGTTTTGAGTAATTATTTTTTTGTTGTTTTCATTTTGAAACATTGAGGAATCACTGATGACGAGGAGCGAAGGTGTAAATACAGACGGAGGAGAGAAGCGTCTCGTTGGTGTGAAAATGATTTTGCATATCTTGTGCTCAGCTGAAAGGTGCATGATACGCAAGAGCAGCTCTCTTTCACTCTCGCTTTTTCCCCCTTTATCTTTTCATTCGCTCACCCTCCTTGTCCTTTCTTCTGCAGACATCACAGTGAAGGCGTTTTATTACGGCACCCGTGCGCCGGTGAACAGTTGGTCATGCACATTAATTCTTGCTATTATTTGAGGCTGCAAGCGGAAACATTAGAAATCCCCTTTCATTTCTCAAATCTCATGGACAATCTGCGTTCGGCGAGGAGATTTAGGTTGGAAATAATGGATTTGGATGCTAAGCTTGAATTTTTTGTTCTCGTTTGCATGAAGTCTAAAGAATCGAGCTAACAGACGGAGTCCTCCTCTCCCTTCATTAGCCAATGATTGTATATTTTTATAGACTTATAGAAAAGAATTAACACGTGAGAAGACAATATAAACTCATCTATATCTGCTGAATGTCAGGGTTAAAATGGCTACACACAACCGTGTTTGAGAATGTATGTAGTGACTACGTATAGATAGAAATTAAATGATAGAGAAATATAGAGTATATCGTTCATATTCACCGCAGTAGCTCCTTTCGAAACTCCGCTCGTACGGCCTGTTTTTAAGCAGGATGGTTGGGTGTTTTTGCTGAGGGAGGAGTGTAATGAGATTAATCGTGTGATTTTGAATCCGAGGGCTTTTTCACAGCTGCTTTATTCAGATCAACACATCACGTTCCCCTCTGAGCACCTGCACATGATAGAACAGTGTGGAAAAGCCACGAGCTTTCATGACACAAAAGCAGAGCCTGTGTTGAATGAAACTGCTAATGAATGAACACAGAGCTGTCTGCTCAGGCCTTGGGGAAATGTACCAAATATTTGACTGAAGATTTATTAGTTGCTCAGTGAGGTTTTTGCCCAAATGGTTGTAATGTAGCTTTTCTTCGCTCAGAGAATCAGAAGTTATTTTCTGTATTTTAATATATGAGAACTATTTATCAGATGGAAGTTGAGATATTTCGCACTGGTTGGAGGGAATGTCGGTGATGTAACGGATGAGATTTCAGCAGGGCAAGTGTAGGTTGCTCTCCAGATGGACTTTTTGATTTGATTGACTTTGATTGATTGTGGCTTGTATTTCGATTTGCCATCTGTAGCAGTAACGTGCACAAGTTTCCCCAATAAAAAAAGAATATATTTGATGCATTTAAATGCATTTAATGCAGAATATTTTTGGAAATATAAACCCCTTAGAAAAGAGTAAACTATCTATAGCAAATGAGCAGCATTGTTACAACCATTAAAGTTCACAACACATTAAACTACACTGTTTAGTTTTTTTTAATCTTTAGTGTTTGTAATGCACAAACACAAAACGTAAGTGGATTTATTAAGAACGTCTGTAGTTCAAGCATCAGCATTCGGGCCGTCCGGTGTTTCTGGGTTCGTGCGTGCCAATTCTGCATGTGTCAGACTGAAGGAACGTGCCGTGGGGTTGACCTTTGACCCAGAGAAAGCCTGGACAGGTGCAATGTCTGCCCTCTGGTTTAACCTTTGTGTAGCACATATCTCTAATGTCCTCCTTTATATGACTGTTAATTTGATATTATAAGTTAATGTAGTGCGTTAATGAGTTTTAATGATAAACTAAAAGCTAAGGTGGTGATGCAATAATCACAATTTGCACATTTAAACCACGTTTAGTTGGACACGTCGTACACATAATCCAAGTAAAGGATGAATTTATGCATAGATTTTAGCTGTCGTGTAAATATTAATTTCGCCCTAAGCTCAAAACGTCAGTCTTGCCATAGTTTGATTTCCACAGGTGGGACGATAATTAATGCAGATTTGTTCAGGCCGTCTCCTGCAGTAGGTGAGACAGCTCTTCAGTGTTTTTTAGTGCACTGATTGCATTCAAAACCCCAACTCAGGGGAAGGGAAATGCAAAACCATTTATATGAACCAATTTGAGGTTTTCGAGAAGCATTTCCCCGCCTCTAGTTCCACCCAGCGAATGTAGCACTAGAGACAGAAGAAGATGGGCGGAACGGTAACGATTATGATGAGGAGCTCAGAGAGTTACTATATTGCACAAATCTCCATGTATGAGTGAACGTTTTAACAACTTATTCTTTACCACATCTGCATCTTTCTGCAGAGATGGAAGTAATGCTCTGTTTGATGGCGTTGAGCTCTGGGCTTGATTTGTTGGGTCTCTTTTTCTCTAATGGGTGGCAGGACTGAGGGAGTCGATTCCCTGATGCTCACACGTGTACAGATGATGCAGTCCGCAATTCTTTCTGTTATAGAGATTGTAACCCGAATCTGCATTACACTATTTTCCTGCAGTGGGAGGCGATTCGGTTTATGTTTAACCACTTACTGTAAGACTCACGAAGGGAGGAATCTTTGAGCAGATCGTCTCAGTTGCTTTATTTTCGGTGACCACACGAGCAGCTTCTATAGTTTTGATTGACGGTGCGGACGGGAAGTGTAGTCTCGAGGTCCTGAGCTGTTTGTTAGATTAACGAGCTGAATTAAAATTAGATGCGTGTCGTGCTTTTGGTAGAATTCGAAGGCATCAGTGCTGACCATTCAGGTCTCTCACGAAACACCGTCAGGTCATTCACATTTTGGACTATTTAATGGAGTTTAGACCCCAGGTGTTATTGAAAACTCTGTGAGACGTCTGCATGGTCTGTCATTCCCTCCTCTACTTTTGCTGAGACTCTTTTGTCATCATTTCATCATTCTTTCATTTGTTCATTTAGATTTGAAAAAGAATACGCTACGTAAATCTGAAGATTCAATCACTTTTTCTACTCCTATTTTCAAAAAAAAAAAGTGAAACGAAAAAAACCAACAAAAAATGGATTTGTAAATAAGTGATTGTACAGTTTGTATCTGTATCTGTCAGTCTGTCTTTGGTGACAGAGTGTGTCTTGCTTATAACGCACGCTACCAGTAAATAAAAACTAAAAAATATCTTTAGATTGTATGGTTCTTGACAGGAAGTTTTAAATTAATCTCTGCTGTATATTCCTGTAATATTGCATTTTTATCTGAGGAATGATGTTATTAAACAATTGCAAATAAATTGAATTTCCTAAGGTTTGGTTCTTCTGCATCTTATGAGCGATTACAACCGATTAGGTCCTCAGGTAAGATCTCACCTGTCCAATATTATTACAATCAGCAGAGGTTAAATTCAGATGTTCTTTTATTATGGTCACAGCATGATATTTTAAGTGACAAATTATATTAAATCAATATAGAAATCTAATACATTTTTTTTACATTCGTATTGCATTAAATCCAGAGTCCAGCCACTGGATCAGCACAATCTGCAGCTGTAAAATAATTTATAAAAATGCAGCCTGTGTAAAGCGTCATCATATATATGTGTCTGCATACTTCCTGGGTTTCTGTTTAGTGTGTGTCTTTGTGGTTGATCTTCCGTGACTCTCCGTGATGAAGAATGAAGAACAGATCTGGATTCAATCCATGATTCACCATAGCCTCACGCAAACGTGCTGGAGGGTCAAGATAATGCTGCAAGAGAGAAAAGAACAGAACAGCATGTAGTTTGAAATCTGTAAGATTATGTATGTATATATATATATATATATATTTTTTTTTATAAGTCTCTTATGATCACCAAAACTGCATTTATGTGAGCGAAAATACAGTAAAACAGTGAAATATGTGACCCTGGACCACAAAACCAGTCATAGGGGTCAATTTCTCAATTTTGATTTCTGAATAAATACGCTTTCCATTGATGTATGGTTTGTTAGGATTGGACAATATTTGGCGGAGATACAACTATTTGAAAATCTGAAATCTGAGGGTTAAAAAAAATCTAAATATTGAGAAAATCGCCTTTAAAGTTGTCCGAATGAAGTTCTTAGCAATACATATTACTAATCAAAAATTAAGTTGATATATTTACGGTATGAAATTTACAAAATATCTTCATGGAACATGATCTTTACTTAATATCCTAATGATTTTGGCATAAAAGAAAAATCGATAATTTTGACCCATACAATGTTTAGTTGGCTATTGCTACAAAAATACCCCAGCAACTTAAGACTGCTTTTGTGGTCCAGGGTCACACATATAATTACAGTTTAAATTAACTGTTTTCTACTGTAATTAAAAAATAATAATTAAACAGAAAAAAAACTTTTGTAAAGGGCCTGAACTGCAAAACATCCCTAATCCTAACTGAATACCTAGAGCTTAAACAAAGGCCCAAAAATGTGTTCTCTCCCCTTATTAATCCTCAGAATAACATAAATATAACATGCATAACAAGACCTAATCCTAAAACACAGTAAAACAAGTTTTCTAAGCTGACTAAATCAGCTAACTATTTGAACTCTAATCTGGAAAACCTGCTCAAAAATGTCTAAATGCTTCAGGCTAGACTCTCCCTCAGAGAAGCATGAATGCACAGGCACAGCAGTGAAGCCTGACGCAATACAACAACAAAGACTGGACTCCCCAAGCACAGCTGGACAACAATTACACACAATCAGAGCAGTGACAGCTGGCCAGCTCAGTGGAGGCCATTCACACTGAGAGAATGAACGTGTGCGAGAGACAGACAGGCTCATACCTCATAGGCTAAAGCAAACGTCCCCCAGTGAATGGCCAGCGATGTTTTGGCCTGAATGTCCATGTGAATCTGAACAGCCTCTTCAGGGTCCACATGCTGAGACTTCATGATTTCTCTAAGAACACAAGTTGTATTATTAATGTACTTCAAAATGTACTTCAAATACACACACCCGCTTTTCTGACAAAAGAGGACCAAAAGTAATTCATCAAGGAGCCAACAACATTCATAATATCAAATAAGGTTTATTTGACAACTAGACAGTCTTACCTGGGGAGGTATGCTCCAATCGGGATGGCAGCCAGGTCGAATGGTCCGAAGCGTTTTCCAATCTCTTTAAATGCCGAACAGTATCCCGTATCTCCAGCGAAGAAGAAACGACAACGAGGGCCTACGACTGTCCAGCTTCCCCATAATGCTTTGTTGTCATCCACAGGAGTGCGTTTGCACCAGTGCTGTGCTGGTGTGCAAAAGAATGTGACATTGTCGTGCCCGGGAATGCGGCTTCCTACCCACCAGTCCAGCTCTGCGACATTCTCACAGCCTGCCTTCTGCATCCATTCGGCCAATCCGAGCGGCACAAACCAGCGCAAACTGGAACCGAAGCGAGCGTTCAGAGCTGCCACAGAGTTTGCATCGAGGTGATCGTAGTGTGTGTGACTGATCACCACTGCGTCCAGGCGAGGAAGCTGTTCTAAGGTGCAAGGCGGGTCACGGTAACGCTTTGGGCCCATGAATGCCACTGGAGAGGCTCTCTGGCTGAACATGGGGTCAGTCAGAAACACCAGTCCTTCCATCTCCACCAGTACAGTGGCATGACCCAGCCAGGTCGCTCTCACAGATGGGCCTGTCTGCCCGCACTGGTCTGGCCTCTGCACGAAATATGGCTCCTGGATCGGCAACTCACGGTCAAGAACCTTAAGATAGAACACAAAAACATGTTTGTTTTTTTAATAAACGCACGATATGTAATTCTAAACATAAAATGTACAAATATAAAATTCAGTATGACTTAAAATATAAACATAAATGTATAATTTAATGTAACAGTATACTGAAGTTATGTTCCTTTAGAAACAATATTTCACCATTCAAAGCGAATTAATTTGTAACACAATGAAATATTATATGCCATTTTTCTACTTTAAAATCCTCTATACCCCAGAGTTCCAGAGACCTAAAAATAATCAAATGTTTGTTCTGTTAATTATTTATTTAAATAATCAATGTTTTAAAGCTCAGGAATATCCTTTGTGTGACATTTGTAAATTCCACGCTGCTGATTCAATGCATTTCTGATGAGTGTGTTTACCTCTTTGGCTCTGGGAACATTACTGTTGTTCCTCTCTGTGAGGAACAGGCGAGCCATGGTGCTGTAGGAGGGGAACTGCCAGGTTGTCCAGGGGTTCACAAAGCACCCATGACAGTCCCGTCTGGAACACGTAACATCTTGCTCTTGCCTGTAATCCAGTGGGAAGTTATTCCCTGCGGTGACTAAAGGTTCCTCTGCCATGGACGCCCCACCAGCCGCTGAACTGCACAAACACCTGTTAAAAACACATTTGAGCAACCTCTGAATAAACACAGCTTATACACAAACAAACAACTGTCCTGCAGAAAACTCCTGAACAGCCTACACACACGGCTGGTAATTACTGTCTGCATATCCTTCTGTTTCTTTGTGCACATTGGCATTACTGTTACTAAACGTAGCTATCTGTACAGGACATACATGGCCTGTAACGTTACTGTCTATATATCCTTCTGCACAGCTTCTTTATCTCTAACCGCAAAATTGTAGACCCAGTCTGGACTAACGTTATGCACCTTCTAATACGTGTTCTTTTTGGCCCCTTTAGTTTATAAATAAAACTCTTTAAATGTACACAATATTACACGTACACAAGTGTATACCACATTTATGTACCCAGAGGGTCTAGTTATAACACATTTGTTAACGTGAACATACTCCACCGTTAAATCTGAAGAGAAAACAAGTCTATAACCCACCTGAGAACACAGGAGCAGATGATAAAACACAAAGCGTAAGGCTCGCTGATACGAACAGTGTCTCGAGCTGCGCAGGTAACGTGTTACGTACCGATGCGTCAGTCCTGCCAGCAGCAAACTCCAGTCTGTCGCGAGCGCACGAGCGCGCATCGCTAGAAGAGCTGATGTAAGAGCGGCCATAAGGGACAAAAACCTAAAAACGAAACGCGTCAAAGTTTTAACGTGTCAACACTCACAGGTTGACTCTTACGAAGCTGCAGGACAAGAAAAACAAACGGCTCAGATTTATGCACTCAGCGTTTACTTCCGTTTTGCTGCATTCTAAACTGTCATATCGCCGCGGTAACTTAGTCAAAACGTCTTAACAACCGCGTAAACAAAAACACGCCGTATTTCACGGCGTTTTGGTGCGTATAAATAGCGTCGTTTACACTGTTAGATCTGTATAAAAACGCCGGTTTGGTTGTAAAGAAGTTTCCAAGTTTCCTTGTAAAGCGCGGTGTGCTGATTTGCAGTCAGCCAGCAAGTTTGAACAGCCACCCAACAAGCCAGACCAGACTCACTCACTGCTGAGCACATATGCGTGTGAACATCCCTGCTGTCTCTAAATATGATTCATCTGATGTAGAATATCATTCAGGGCCGGGGTTGATCAACTGCTTAGGCTAGTCTGACAAGTGATCTGTTTCACTGCTCATAATCAGTTACACAAAAAGGTAGATGCGTCTCATTTAAATCTGATTAACTACCTATCGGCTAATTTCTAGGCAGTCAGACTAGTTCTTAAGAAACACTTTTAACGTGGTGGCTATGCTTATGCAACTGGTCCCTGATTTCTCTCGCATTTTTAGCCTTTCGAGCTTTGATATTATTTACATAAGTTAAAAGCACTTGCAATATTTTACCACAAGAGGACAGGTCAGTGAAAGACTTGTGGCAGTAACGATGCATAGAAAATGTGTGAATCAGAATTCTATTGCATTAATTTTCCCCATGTGAAATAATCAATGTAAGTTGAGTATGTGGAGGAACATAGAAAAGCATGCCCGTCTGTTTTCACTGTCTGTGTGTGTGTCTCTGTGTGTTTGTGTGGTTTACGAGGACACACATTTGTATAATAACATGGGTATGACATAGGTATTACAATGAGAAGGTGATTTATGAGGACATTTTCAGTGTCCCTGTAATCCAAAAGGCTTATAAATAATTCAGAATGAGTTTTTTTGAAAATCTAAAAATGCAGAAAGTTTCCTGTGAGGGGTAGGTTTAAGGGTAGGGTTGGTGTAGGGCAATAGAATATACGGTTTGTACAGTATAAAAACCATTACGCCTATGGAGAGTCCCCATAAACCATAAAAACAAACCTGTGTGTGTGTGTGTAAATTACGCAGATTTGAGTGTTTAAAACAGTTGGGATAGTATATGCTCTTTCTCATGTTGTTAGGAAACTGGCAGACAGTTAACAAATGTATTACTTAAAAATGCCTACACACTCTTCCAGCCTAGGGTGAAGTCGTTATGTCATTAACAATGATAACAATGATGTGAGACCACCTTCACCTCCTGATGTGGACCATAGAATGAAAGAAGACTATGCACTGTAACTTGAAATAATACTAGAGAGAGGACATTACCAAAAAGTTGTGATGTTTAACCTAGTAATAGCGAGTTTGTAAAACCTTTTTTTAATTAATTTTTTTACATCCAACCACCACATAATGTTTTGTATTATTACACATATAAAATGCTTTTAAAAGAATGACATTTTGACTTGACATTTTAGATGTTTTCCCTTATTGAACATACTCAGCTCAGGTAATGGACATCAGCTAATGAGGAAATTCAGTCCAGCGGTGTTCAATATAGGAGACATCAACCGCAGTGCTGGGGAGACTCCAGGAACAGCCAGAAAACCATTGGCCTGTATATATATGTCAGCTTCTCCTTATCTGAAATGTTATTAAAAGTTAAATGGTGTTTATTTGTCCCTGGAGGAAATTAACTATTTTTTTCATATCCTTGTGATCTTCCTGATGTATCAGCAACAGTTGTGTCACACATGGTGCTCATATACGTACATTAGCCTGATGTGAAATTAACACTTGCACTTACAACAGCATCAAACAACTAAACTGGCTATAAGCTTATAACACAGGACATGAGTCAGAAAATACTGAATAAATATAATAAACGAGCTATTGTTATTTTTTAAATCATATTTCCAAATAAAATAAACAAGCACCCACCAAGATTCAGTGGCTCAGTAGGTAAATTGTTGCCTTTCAGTTGTGAAGTCCTGAGTTCAAATCCCATTGCTGCTTATGTTAAAAGTATCCCACAAAGTGCTTCAAACACCAGCACTTGACGTGAACGCTGCAGTGCTACTAGTGACTGTTAATCATATCTGTGGAAAGTCTATGGTTATGGGTTCAAATCCCACCACCACATATTATAATAACCATTTGGGTCAATATATCTAAAAAAAAAAACACACAAAAGAAAAATTGATGTGCTATGATATGAGACCTGTGGCTCAGAGGATAATTGTTTGCCTTTGATACATAAAACTCTTGGTTCAAATCCAAGCGTTATTAATGCTATATATTTTCAAAGTTTTTAAAAATGTATTATTATTATCATATTCCCAACAAAAAATACAAAAACAACCACTGAGATTAAGTCCTGATTTCAAATCCCACCACTGCTTATGTTAAAAATCTCACATTTTGCATTAAATCCAACAAAGTGCCTCAAATGCAAACACACATTATAAAAGCCACAGTGGCACAAGTGGCTAAATACATGTTAATCACGTGCACGGAAGAGCTACAGTTGTGGGTTCAAATCCCACCGCTCCATATTATAATAACAACTAGGGTCAATGTATTTAAGCAAAAACACCATGAGACCTGTGGCTCAGAGAATAGTTGTTTACCTTTGGTACAAAAAAACTCTTGGTTCAAATCCAAGCATTACGAAAGTTATATTTTCAAAGGTGTATTTTTTATCATATTCCCAACTAAAACCACTGAGATTCAGTAGCTCAGTTGGTAAAGCGTTGAGCTGCAATCACAAAACCCTGAGTTCAAATCCCACTATAGCTTATGTTAAAAATCTCACATATTGCATTATATCCAACAAAGTGCCTCAAACACCAGCACACGTCGTGAAAGCCACAGTGGTGCTAGTGGCTAGACACACGTTAATTGCACACATGGATGCATTGGAGTTGTGGGTTCAAATCCCACCTCAGTGTGTTGGACACAATCACTACACCACAGCTTTAAAGCCTTTATCTGACACTTTACTTGAAACTCACAGCTCACCTACAGGTGAACAGTCAAGTAGAAGTTCCCTCATGTGTCCAGACAAGAGATCTGTGGCTCACAGGTATGAGTGCTGCCTCATGGGTTTAGAGGTTGCTGGTTCAATCCCAGCCAGATCTCTGCGATATGAGTGGTGTGGTGTGAGTGAAGGGTGCACCCAAAGGAGGGGGATACTGGTACGGTCTCCCCCTGGTGCTTCCGGCACAATGTCCAGCAGGGGTTATGCTTTTGACCAGATGGAAAAAAATATATTTGGCTGTATAAAATTTCACGTTCGCCGTCCCTTCCCCACCTACTTAGGTTACCATCTTTTGCTTCATAAAGGTGTCACCCCTCAAAACGAAAATTATGGCAACCTACACATTCAGTACCCAACAACACACATTATCAATTATATTCACCTGTCCATGAGCAGATGTCCATCATTGCGGTGAATGTCCACATGTCCGAGACCTTTATATAGTCCAAACACATGCCTTATTCTGTTGAGGAAAAACATATATAAACAAAGACTCTATACTGTATGTACAAAAGCATTATAAATCTCTAAAAATAGATAATGTGGACATCACTTAAATTATCTTGCCTTTAAACATTTAAAACTAAAAAGATATACAACCTTTACGTTTCAATAAAGCTAAGAATCTATATTCAGACGTCTGCTGCCCTAAAATGTACATATTTTGTGTGATCCACACATAGCATATTAACAGGAACAATAGCATTTGTCACAAACTGACTCTATTAACAAACACGAATTACACATTACAATATCATCAGATAAACAAAACTTTCTGTTATTATACTTCATAAGCTTCATAGGAATCGCTACTTCAGATTCATATTATCAAGGCAATGCAACAACTAACTTAGGCTATTCTTAAAGTCTGACACTGGAGTTTAGCAAAACAGCCAACATGTAAACAAGATCTGTGCTAAACCTACATTACAGATCTCACTGCTTTCATTCATGCTTAGCTGTCACGTTACTGATCAGTATTAGTCTGAGACTTTTAAACAGTCCAATAAAGAGCAGCACCACCTAAATACTCCAGCAAGCACATTAAAAACCTGCTTGGTCATATCAGAAGAATGATGCTTCACTACAAACTTAAATAATGACTTAGATACAAAATGAAGACAGCTAAATAAGTACTAGGGACTTTACAAGAGAAGTTACTTACAGGTGAGTCGCGTGACATCCTCGATTCATGCACTTTATCGCCGTATATGATGGTTTTGTTTCATTCTGGCCTGAAATATGTGCTGTTGAGTCACATTAAGAGTCTGTCACTGAGCTGTCATGGGCAGAATCTGCACTTTCATGGCTATAAAACGGTTTGAAGTTGTTGTTGACACTGCTGTCAGGTGTCATGTTGTCAACGATGCACAGTTCGCCGGAGGCAGAGTCCGCTTGCGCCCCTAGTGGTGCGGACGACAAACTGCACGTTACCTTCCCACCAGACGAGTCGTGTTATAGTGCCAGTAGACTGAACATGACTTCAACTTTGGTCCCTAACTCATTACTTAAACGTGTAGTTTACTTTCACATTGACATACTCAAGCAGAATCCCTGTTTAGCTCGTTGAATGTAAGACAGGTGAAAACAGGTGATCAGCGGCTCCCTCTTGTGGTCAGTAAGTGTAGCACATTTATTAAACGAGACGCCAAACTGAAAGAGGAGAAGCGGTGGGAGGACACAAATTTGTGGCTTTATACGTGTTAAAATAAATCTATAATTTTGTCAGGATCTCGAGCAGCAGATAAACACGGAATCTATCAGTTAATGGACTCAGATTAACTCTTTAATGATGGGTAAAATGTCTGATCTTTTGAACTGGAAGCCACATGGCCAAAATACAAACAAATAAAATACGGCTGTTTTTGAGTGATTTATCTTTTGGTAAGGTAGATGTATTATTTTTTTACTTTCATTTAAAGTGATTTTTATCGTCTAATGTTGACAGTTATGCAATGATTTCGTATGGTTGTTCACAGATTCAAACAGCATTTATAGCAAAGCTGCAATGGTTAGGAAAGGCACGTTTGATAGCTCCCCATGTGAACATGAAGTTCTGCAGGACTGAAAGGAAGAGAAACACTGTGTTAACCAAGAACAAGTGTATGAATCCATTGATTACATTTTACTGTGTGCTGCAGAACATGGGAAACCTCTCATACTTGAGAGTACTGGTTCAAATCCTGCAATTTCTAATATTTGTATATTAACATTATTTTAAAAAAAAGAGAGAATAAAAAGTAACTTTGCCATGTCCAGCTCAATTGTCCAACATATGAAATTAATACAAGTTGTTTTGCATGTGGAGTCCTGTGTTCACATACATTATTGCTTTCAAAAAATTTTTTACATATACAGAAAATTTTTTTTTAAATTAACTCTTTAAATTCAGAAACTTGGATATAAAGAGTTGTGGTTGTATTATTAATTATTCATGAAATCCCAAAAAGGAAAAATAATAATAATCATAACAGATAATAGTTTGCCTTTCATACATTAAACTCTTTGTTCAAATTCTGCATTTATTGAAGTATTTTTATTGTATATTTTACCATATTTATATGTAAATAGCATCCCCAACACAAACACTCAGTAGCTCAGTTGATAAAATCTTGTGTTTCAATCCCGGAGTCCCGAGTGCAAATCCCACTATAGCTTATGTAAAAAATCTTGCATATTGCATTAAGTCCCACAACATGCCTCAAACACCAGCACACGTCGTGAAAGCCACAGTGGTGCTAGTGGCTAGACACATGTTAATTGCACACATGGATGCATTGGAGTCGTGGGTTCAAATCCCACCTCAGTGTGTTGGACACGATCACTACATCACAGCTTTAAAGCCTTTATCTGACACTTTACTTGAAACTCACAGCTCACCTACAGGTGAACAGTGAAGTAGAAGTTCCCTCATGTGGCCAGACGAGAGATCTGTGGCTCACAGGTATGAGTGCTGCCTCATGGGTTAAGAGGTTGCTGGTTCAATCCCAGCCAGATCTCTGCGATATGAGTGGTGTGGTGTGAGTGAAGGGTGCACCCAAAGGAGGGGGATACTGGTACGGTCTCCCCCTGGTGCTTCCGGCACAATGTCCAGCAGGGGTTATGCTTTTGACCAGATGGGGAAAAAATATAGTTGCCTGTATAAAATTTCACATTCGCCGTCCCTTCCCCACCTACTTAGGTTGCCATCATTTGCTTTATAAAAGGTGTCACCCTTCTAAAAGAAAATGATGGCAACCTACACATTCAGTACCCAACAACACACATTATCAATTATATTCACCTGTCCATGAGCAGATGTCCATCATTATGGCAAATTTCCCAGAACTCTGCATAGTCCAAGCTCATCCCTTACTCTATAAAGACATAAATAAACAAAGACTCTATACCATCTGTCTCAAACACAATTCCTGGGGTGTATTCCAGAAAGCACGGTTAACTTACCGTCAGCTAAACCCTGAACTTTCGGTTGATTAACCCCAAACCTTGCTTACTCGAGGTATGTGGTTCCAAAAACTCATCCGGGAGTTAGTTCATTCAACTCAGAGTATGTTCCTGGTTAAGACTCAAGACATTCTCAACAGAGCGACGAATCGACGAGTCACTATGGAAATGGACGCTAAGAAAAAACGCTCCATGCTGTTTCTTTTTTCTTCTTTTGTCCAATAGTCATTTACATGCTTAGTGCATATCGCCACCTAACTGATGGTTGTGCAATCATTTAAATTTTTTTCTGTTTAATCTTTAATCCTTGAGAATATGAATGATATTGTTTGTTTGATGCTAATTATATATTGTCATATCAGATATGTTTTTTTAATTTAGAATTTAGACATTATAGAAAATGCTGATCCACATGTGAGATGATAATATAAAATGTAATAAATAAATATATATAATAAAATAAATGAACCGAAAGCTGAGGTGATCCGCTCGCTTATCCTCAAACATACCCGGATATGTCACATAACCTGCTTTTTGGAATACCCCCCTGGAGGTCCACAGCTCTGCACAGTTTAGCTCCAACCCTAATCAAACACACCTGATCCAGCTAATCAAGCTCTTCAGGATTACTAGAAACTTCCAAGCAGGTGTGATTTGGAGCTGGTTGGAGCTCAACTCTACAAGAGCTGTGGCCCTCCAGGAATTGAGTTTGAGACCAATGCTCTATACTATACATGTAATTTTACATTTTACAATAGTAATATTTATCCTCATAAACTAATAGATAACATGGAATCAGTTAAAATGTTTGTCTTTAAAGATTAAAAACTAAAAGATCCTATATAATCTAGAAGGTGTAACCCCTCAAAAAGAAAATGATGACAACCGACACATTTACTACGCTACAACACACAGTCACACATTATAAACATCACCTGTTCGTAAGCAGATGTCCATCATTATGGCTAATGTCAGTCCATATGTCTTGGAAGTCTGTACAGTCCAAACACTTATTTCTTATTCTGTAGAGGAAAAACATAAATAATCAAAACAAGATACATAAACATACACTTACAGTGGTGGCCAAAATGATTAGAACACTAGTATTTTCACCAGCTAAAAAAATATTTCAAGTCAGTTATTTCTATCTTTTGCTGTAACTGAGAAACTGAGACTGACTCAATCCAGAAGAACTGTGGCATCTGTAGAACTGTAGCTTCTGTCATACACTTATACAGTGTTACATTTCAAGAGACAACTTACATTAGTAGACACTAAGCTTTCAAATGCACGATTTCAGATGCATGTACTGGCATACGCTCAGAAACTGTATATATATATATATATATATATATATATATATATATATATAC